AATCCAGAATACCACATTGCATTTAGGCTCTTGATATTTAATGTAGAAAACTAGCATCGGCAGAGAATAACAATTTTGTCCATTAGTTTCCAAATCTGTGTATATGCAGCTCTCCGGTGTGTGTACCCTGGCCTTCCTGCAGGGGCCCGAGCTGACTGACCACTCCGTTCCAGCTCTCCCTCCGTAGATGTTGGCGCTCCCAGGAGCCTGTCCTTTGCCCCTGAATTTGTGTCTGCCACACACTCTGCAACCATTGTATCTCCCTGTTTGGGCTCGGTGCCGCCTGTGTGCGCAGGGCAGTCAGTTTGCCGTCGTCACCAAATCTTTTTAGCATAGTTTTCTTTTTTGAGCTCTGGATTCCGGCGTTTTGGAAATCTCTACCTGTACTTTCCACAGACTTCAGTGTGTCTCATTGGAACACATCTATTGTCTTCTCCTGCCAACTTGTCCTCCTCCTGGGTTTCCTGTCTCCGTCATGTCCCAGGTGGGGTTTGTTTGTTTGTTTGTTTGTTTATAACATATTTTTATTGATTTCAGAGAGGAAGGGAGAGAGAAACATCAAAGATGAGAGAGAATCATTGATCGGCTGCTTCCTGCACACCCCCTACTGGGGATGACCCTGAAACCCCGTGCATGTGCCCTGACTAGGAATTGAACTGTGACCTCCTGGTTCATAGGACAGTGCTCAACCACTGAGACACACCGGCCTGGCATAATGTCTCAGTGTTGAGTCACAGAGACTTGGACTCATTCTTTACCCTTCCCTCCCTCATTCCCTTTGTTCCCTTCTCTCCATCCCAGCTGTTTCCCTAGATCAGTGTTTCCCAACCTTCTCTCATGATGAGAATCACCTGGTGGAGTTGTTAAAACACAGATTCCTGAATCCCAACTAAGAAGTGCTAAACTAGAATTTTTGGGAACATATAGGTAAAATTGTATACTTAACTAGTGCTCTAATTGTATACTTAACAGAGCACTAAGTTAGGTATGCAATTTTACCTATATGTTCCCAAAAATTCTAGTTTAGCACTTCTTAGTTGGGATTCAGGAATCTGTGTTTTAACAACTCCACCAGGTGATTCTCATCATGAGAGAAGGTTGGGAAACACTGCCCTAGATACTCTCATCCTCCCATCCCTTTTCACACATCAGACTCCTTAACACGTATGCAGAGCCTCTTGGGTCCCTGCCGCCCTCTTCCACCCTCACACTGTGCTCACCACACCCGAGGACCTGCTGCTCCTGGGGTGCATGGCTTCCTTGTTCTTCTCCTTTGGAAGTTGTACATTTAAGGTCCTTTGTTGTTTTACTCTCTCCTTTCCTGACAAACTCCTGCGGATTCCTTCAGTCTCCATCCGTTGTCGCTGATCCGAGGAAGCCTTCCGTCTCTGGGGCTGGGTTAAGTGTACATTATGAGTGCTCACAATAGCTGTGCACGGCTCTCTGGTGGCACAGTACTGAACCTGTCTAGTTAGTTACCCGTGTGCCGTCCTCATCTCCTCAACAACACTGGGTTTTCTTCAAGAAGACGCTGTGTTTCCCTCTGTGGTTCCTATCGCCAAGCACAGGTCCTGGCCCATACCTGTCACTAGTACATGCTTATTGAACGAATGAATAAAAGTATTCACCGTCCTTGGAAATGCTGACTTTACTGTTTCCAAAGTCTGTGTTTTTCACCAGGGACAAACCTCTCTAGGTGTCGGTTTCCTTATTTGTAAATGAGGAGGGTGCGCTGGACACTGCCTGAAGTCCTTTTCAGTTCTTACAGTCTGGTACTTGGATTTCAAGATCCATCATCCTTGAGCATATTCGAAAAGAAACCATGCAACTTCTGAAGAAAATTCCAAAAAAGGAGTTCTGTTTTGAGCCACGGCGGTAACATTGAAATAATAATTTGGCTTTCGGGTTATACTGTGTCACTGCATGTGTCGCGTGCCAGGGATCTGAGCACTTGAACATGTGAGTGGTTTACTTATGGTGATCGGAGTCTCCACGCCTTTGCTTACATATCCTCTGTCGCTTTGAAGAGACTGTAAATTCTCATTTGCTGGGGATTTTCAACTAAAACTTAATACAACTACTTCTCAGGGATATTGCAGATGGGACTTAAGATGTAATTGTGTAATGATGGAACTAATTGACTGCGAAGATCTTGCCTAATGATGAGATTAGTTGTGTTGTTTGACTGCTTTTGTTTTTATGCTGCAACAGGAAAAAAAAGTACACTATTTTTTATTTTCATCTCTTACTGGATTTAATATCAACATTAGAAAGCCACCAGAAGTCTTTGTTTATCAAAATTATTGAACTTTTGTGCATCCATAAACTGAGTATAATGGGTGGTCTCCAGCTTGCTGAAATGACCCGGGTGAAATCTTGTCTAAGTCCCATTTACTTTTGGTCTTTAGTGTAGTCCTTTAAATTTTTTTTAAACTTAAAAAATGTAAAATACACCATAATACAGAAATCACATAAAACAGATTTGTACTTTAATGAATTATTAAAGGTGAACATTCTTGTAACCATAACTCTGATCAGAAAATAGAACTTTTGGTCCCGTTGGTATGGCTCAGTGGTTGAGCATTGACCTATGAACCAGGAAGTCAGGGTCTGATTCCTGGTCGGGGCACATGCGCAGGTTTCAGGCTCCATCCCTAGACGGGGGCATGCAGGCGGCAGTCAATCAATGATTCTTTTTTATCATTGATGTTTCTATCTCTCTTTGAAATCAATGAAAATATTTTTTAATAAATAAAAATATTTTTTTAAAAGAAAATATCTAGTAGCACATAACTGAAACAGCAAGCTGAGTGTTAGTCTCCTTCTTTAAAAAAAAGGAAGAGACCTAGCCAGTTTTGCTCAGTGGATAGAGATCAGCCTGTGAACTGAAGGGTCTTGGATTCTATTCTGGTCAAGGGCACACGCCTGGGTTGCGGGCTTGATCCCCATGGGGGGTGTGCAAGAAGCAACAGATCAATGATTCTCATCATTGACGTTTCTATCTCTATCTCCCTCTCCCTTTTTCTCTGAAATCAATAAAAATAATTTTTTAAAAAAGAAAGAAAGAAAATGGAACTTTTGCCCACAGCCCCAATGCCTGTGTCCCTTGTCCCAATCCTGGTCCCTGCCTCCCATATAAAAGTGTACAGGTTTTTATTTTAATCACTTATTTGAATTTAAGTTTCATTACACTGCTAGGCATCCTTAAATACTTCAGCTTTACCTTTTCAAATATGTGAGCTTTACGCCATTTTAGTCTCAGGTCCTCCTCCCAGCCTTTTTTTCTTCGTTGTAACTGATTGGAGAGGAAATTGGATTACTGGGCCTGTATTTACTCAGGCTGGATTATGCTGATGGCTCTGGCTGCCCCGGACCTGGCTGTGTAGAACAAGCGTGGCTGGTATGTGCCTCAAACCTGGGATGTTATTCTGCCTGCAGTACCATCCCCGGGTCTCCTTACCCTGGACCTTGTTCATTAGACTATCTCATTGTATTGGGTAGGACAAAGATTACATGGGGAAGTAGTCAAAAGAAATAAGAAAGGATATCATGGTTACTGGTTACAGGCAATGTGGGCGAGACTTATTGATTGGGCAACAAGGTTGTATCCAATGTGAATTATATCTCAAATTGTTTAAAAATAAATAAAGGAACCAGGAGCACCAATAGTTCAGAACCAGAGCCCATCTTAACATCATGGTGACTTTGACATCATGAAAGAACTTTTCAGCTGAATTTAATTTAGTTGAACAATTCAAGTCCACTAGGCAAATAAGCATTGGATAGCTTGCTATGGGGACAGGGTTAACATTGTAGCATAATTTTCAAACAACTATGATGTTAAGAGGAAAATAATCTCAGGAGAGCCCTGGCGTGTGGCTCAGTCGGTTGGGCATCGCCCATGCACTGAAGATTGCTAATCAGGACACATGCCTGGGTTACAGGCTCCATCCCTGGTAGGACCATGCTGATTGATGTTTAGATCTCACATGAATGTTTCTCCCCCCCCCCCCCCCCTTCCTCTCTAAAAATCAATTAAAATTTTTTTTTAAAAAAGTCTCAGGTGGATGAAACATACCTGATCTGAAATAAAATTTTAAAAAGTCAGGTCAAGTTAGTTGATAATGTTATTCACATATTCTATATTCTTATTTTTTCAGTCAATTTTTGTTTCAGATATTTCAGAATTCTATTAAGAGGTGCTACTCAGTTAAGATTATGATGTCTTCTTGATGTATTTGACCCTCTTATCATGAAATAACACTGTTCTCTTTAGTTATATTTCTTGCCGTGAAGTCTACATTATTTGATTTTAAAATAGCCATATCAGCATTCTTACATTGAGGGTGTGCATTTTGTATTTCCCCCCACATTTTACGTTCAAATTGCCTGGATGTTTGTGTCTAAAGTACTTTTCTTATAAACAACACAGTTGTTTCGTAAATTTATTTGGCTCCACAGACCGGTTTTTTTTTTTTTTTTTTATGTAACCTCTGTTAGCCAAGTACATTTTGGGGTATGCTGTTCTAGGCCGGAGAATTCTAATTGGAAATGTGCAAGAAGAGCAAAACAGAAAATGTTAACTTCATTTTTATTTAAATTAACTAGATGCCTTGCCTAGGTGACATTAGCATTATACTAAAGTAATATCTACTTTTTATTTTCCTATAATCTGCTTTTAAAAATTAAGCAGTTATCTAGCCAAGTAGAGGCTAATTGCACATAAAAGGAAAGAATTCTCCACTCTGTCACTCCTCTACTCTCTGACACTATAGTGAAAAGGGGGTCAGGAGGCGCTCCCCTCTAGTGGACCTGCATCTCCCCCTCGTAGAATTTAATTGATATCTGCCCCCTTCTCTCCCCACCGTCCTCCCCCCGCCCCTCAACCGTCTTCCAGAGTGGACTCTCTGGTTGCTGGGGTGTCTCCTGTTTTTATATTGCATATAGTTGGCTGTTTTTCCTATGATGCTACAAAGGTCAATTTTCCCCATTACTTCTAGTCAAACTACAACTTCAAGCAGAAGAGAGAGGGGTCGTGTCTATCAAAGGAGTGTGCGCCAACCGCTATCTTGCTATGAAGGAGGACGGCCGGTTACTGGCTTCTGTAAGTAATGCTTTCTGTTTTTGTAGTTTGTTTCTTTGATTGCTTTTATGCTCTTTATGTACTGGTGTTGGTATTTGTTAAATCTTTATTAAGGGTTTTACAAGCATTATACTATTTAATATCCATATGTACCCTACAGAATGCGGGGTATCATGCTTTTTATTTCACAGACACAAAAACTGAAGTTCTGAGGGAATAAAAAAGTAACAAAGAAAACCCAGCTCCTCTGAGGCAGAGCCTGGGTGGGACTCGAGGCAGCTACACTCCTGATCTAAGCCCTCGCTCACTGCTTTTACTGCCTTCTCTGCAAAGCTTTAAACTATTGCGTTGTTCTGTTTGTAAATCCTTATATTGCGCAGTTGTTTGAAGATCAGTGGGATGGGTATATGAAGTTTTGAGTATCAGTGTTAGGGGTCTTCTTTCAAATTTGACAAACTCGTGTAGTGTGGAATGCTATTTGAGAATGTGGGCTCTGATCCTATGTTAAGTACTGGCTCTGCTGCTAATTAACTGTAGGTTCTTGGACAGAGGATTCTGAATTAGTTCCCGTATTTATAAAATAGAGAAATAATGATCCTGCCTATCTCATTGTTTTTGTGAAGACTATAAATTATAAATTAGATCATTTTTATATCAAGTGTCAACATCAGGGCCTAATACATAATAGGTCCTAAGTGGTTACTTTCTCGAGGATGGATTTGAGGCAGCGAAGATTGGTGGAGATGGCCGGTTCAGACAATCGATGAAACCAGGCAATAGCAGGGCAGAGAGGCCAAGTCAAGGACTGGCACCTGAGCTGGATAATATTTAGGAATACAGCAGAGGGAAAAGTCAAAGATGGCCCCTAGGTTTCTGGTTTGGATGAGAGGGTAGACGAGGAAGGGGAGAGGAGAAAAGAGCAAGTTCTGGGGAAAGATGTAGACCTATTTTGGGAGAGTTTCTGGAGAGAAAACCCAGTGAGGATGTTCATTACATAGCTGGTGGAATGGGTCTGGAGCTTAGAGATCTGTGTTGACATATGGCTTTGGTGTCATCAGCATCAAGGTGGCAGTGGAATCAGGGGAATGGATGACGTTTGTAGGTGGAAAATAGCTCTAAAAGATGGACTGTTCACTTGGGACATTCATTTTTTTCTACTGTTCTTGTCTTTTTTTTCTACCAGTCTGTTGTCAACTCAAAGGGTGATGTAATACTTTGGGACTCGACCAAAGTAGCATTTTAAATATTTCCAGGACAGTGAAGCAGTGGGTAATTTTGGATGCCTTTGATCTTGTAGGAAGAGGAAGAGGGGTTTAACCCTACCCTTCTCACCTCCAGATGTGACAAGCCATCCATGGCATGAATCACTGTGGCTTTAAGGAAGTGTTGGTTTGGCTCCTGCCGGACAGTGAAGATGGTGGAAAGAAGGAGGTGTACACATTGGCTATGTCATAACTAACTATGGATAACCCTAGTCAAATGCTTTTAAAGCTCTAGCCTTTTCTAGGACTGTCCTGATCTGGCTCAGTGAGCGATTTGAGAGTGTTGCCCTGTGACGTTCCACTCATTGAGATTAAGACCCAGTAACCTGATAATGATGGCTACCCTGTAAGGTAGCCATTGAAGGGGTTGTTTATCTCAAAAACATAGGCTGGAGTAGGTATGCTTTTAATGATAAAAAGTTCCATGTTGTCAAAAGTGATGAAAATAGAAGCTACTCTGTTTTTTAGTGCATCTTTTTTTTTTTAATTAAATATATTTTTATTGATTTTTCACAGAGAGGAAGAGAGAGGGATAGAGAGTTAGAAACATCGATGGTAGAGAATCATCGATCAGCTGCCTCTTGCACACCCACTCCTGGGGATGTGCCTGCAACCAAGGTACATGCCCTTGACAGGAATCAAACCTGTGACCTTTTAGTCCACAGACCGATGCTCTATCCATTGAGCCAAACCGGTTTCAGCTTTTTAGTGCATCTTTGAAACTACTGCGGTCCTTAAAAGAGGAGATGCATTTAAGACCATGGACCTGAAAACAGAACTGTCTCTCATTCTTACAGAATTCTCGACAAGTTAGAATTCAGTGAGTTCTGGTCTCTTTTCTTGATAAATAGGCATTAAGCTTCCAAAACTGTTGATTCTGTACCATCAGAAGCATAAAGTGCTCTAAAAGGAATTTTCTTTTTTCTTCCTTAGCTAACCAGGACTTTACACAAGAGTAAGGACATGGCATTTTATTTTATCTGAAATGTGTTTCTGTCTTCTTTGATGTGTATCAATTCTTCCCGATACAGCAGTGAGAGTGAATTTAGCAATGCTTAGAGATTTACCACACACTCCTCTGTAAGAGACAAAGCTACAGCTGTTCCACATAAATGGGAAATTCAGAATTTATTGGTTTCCTCTGAGGAATGGCATCATGGTTCCAGTTTCTATCTTAGGCTCTATACTCGACAAGTTCACGGTTAATCGGTTAATCGCTAATCTGACCACTCCATCTGGGTGGCCTGCTGCCATGCCTGTTCTGTGGAGATCCTGTCCCCTTCACATCAGGCTGGGCGGGCTGTGTTAATCTTCAGATGAGAAAGTAATCACACACCTCAAACCAAGGAAGCGCTGGTGGTGGTTCAGCAGGGGGCGGAGTCAGAGCTGGGGGCGTGGAGCTGTCAGCAGTTGCCGCTGTTGGTGAAAGTCCAGGGTTGTGACCAGGAGCATCCCCTAGGCGTGCAGTGGCTCCTTTAACCCGGAGAAACTGTGGTTATGAACTTGCACTTGCCAGAGGCATGGTTCTTCCTGCTCTTCAGCTACCCGGCCCCATTCCAGCCTGCTGTGTTAGGGCTCATCCCTGTGTGGGATCCCACAGAGATGTGTAAAACATGCCAGTTCCCCTCAGAGAGAGAGCGCTCTGGCTACGTAAAACATTGTGGTCTCTAAGTCACGTCAGGTAGGTCACCACCAGTTGAGTGCATGAAAAAGTAGTAAATTGTGTACCATTGTTTTTCTCTACCACCTTCATGCATTAATGGTATGAATGCATTCAGGATAAGGATTTCTTATTGAAAACATTTCTTAAGGGTCTCTGAACTTTTGTATGTTCGGAGCTAGAACATACAAAAGTTCAGAGTAACTATATTTAACTGCCAAAGCCTATATTTGGAGGCAGACGTGGAGTCGTCTTTAATCCATAACAGACTCCTTATTCCATTCCATAGCAGGCTTAATTCTGTTGCTCTGAGCAACAGAAGTCCAGAACAAATATTAGGATTTATGATTTCTTAAGTGTGCACAAAATTGTAGTAGATTTTTAAAAAAATTGCATATAGTGAGGCAATTGTAGTTTTAAGTTTAAATCAGCAAACAACCTCAGTCTTAGCATTGAAATGAAACAATCTGCCTGGTCTTTATCGGCTAGAAAGCTCCACATTGTTTTCTGTACAATGTGAGAGACTGCTAACCAAACAAATCGTTTCAGTAAGTACTCGAGTGTGTGTAATCTGTGTTGATCCATAATAGTGAAATATGAGAAATCATTTATATTCTCTGATTACTGCAAAAGTAAAGTACTTTTTTTTTTTTAACCTACCTGTAGAATAACTTTCTTACTAGAGGGGCCTTTACTATGAAACCTACATGCAAAGTAGGGAAACTAGCTTTTTGAGGGCTCCCTTATCTAGATTGACAATATATACTGATCAAATTTGTCAGAAAAATGCAACAATTAAGGAGGAATGTATATAATTTTAAGAGAGAAAATACAATTAAAAGCAAAGGTTACTACCTAATAAGAATTACTATTGCTTCTTTTAGAAACCAATCTTATAAAATGTTATACAACATATTGTATACACACACACACACACACATATATATATATATATATTTTTTTTTTTTGCAAGATTAAGGTAAAATTTCCTTTTCACTTTTCACAGCTTGTGTGTTTGAGTTTGTTCTGAAGTAGTCGGCATTGATACTTACATCGTGTCTGTTTTTAATTATCAGAAGTGGTGTAAGCAAAAGCATTTTTGGATTCATGTTGCGCAAACTCCCTCATAAGCCAAAACTGCAAAATCAAAGTACTGTAAAAGAACAAGCAATCCAAAAAGCAGAGCATGGGGAAATGACCAGAAGGTTCAAATCTAACATGTAGCAGCAGGCGAGACTGGTGAGGCCAGTGGCCCAGGGAGGAGCCAGGGCAGGGAGCACTGTGGAGTGACCGTCCCCGCACTCCTGTCCTCTGTGGAGGGAAGTCACTGTGCACAGCCACACTGAAGGGTGCGGGGCTATGCGCCATCCCCTTGGAGGAGGTATCTACATACATCTTCTGGAATTCTCTCATGTGAGACGCAGACAGCTTCTTTCCATCCCTATGGCCGCCACTGTGGTCTGAGTCTCCACTCCCTCTGCCTGTGGCCCTCGGCCCACCTCTTACAGGTGCCCCTGCCTTGGCCTTCGCCCATGTGGTCTTGGCAGCCAGAGGAACCTGGGAGAATGTCAGGTCAATGCCACTTTGCTGCCCAAAAGTCTACAATGGTTTCCCATTTTCCCAGAGTACTTACAATGGTTTTTAATCTCCTATCTCGTTTCCTCTCTGACCTCATGTGTGACTCCCTTCCCTTCATGCACCCGGGCCTCCTGTGGTCCCTCACACGCTGCAGGCCTGCTCCTGCTTCTGCTCCTGCTCCTGTTGGCACTGGCTGTCCCCTCTCTGTGCTCAAAATGCTCCGCTCTCGTGTCTGGATGGTTAACTCCTTTACCTCCCAGCATTTGCTCAGATGTCGCTTTCCCAGTGGAGCCTCCTGTGACTGTGCTATTTAGTATTGCAACCGTCCACTCCCTGCCCCTCTCGTTCTCGCTTTTACTCTTTCCACAGGATTCATCCTCAATTTGGCACACAAGCCACTCAGTTACGCCCATTGGTTCTTTGGTGTCTCCACCTGCTGGACTGGAGTGGCACAAAGGCCTGGTCCTCATTCAGTTTTGTCCCCTGACCAACCCCAGTGCCCAGAAGACAAAAACACACGTTAAATAAATGCATGTGTTATGGGAACCGTGTGCTTTCTGTATCTTAACATTACTTTTCAATTAAAATAAACCAAAATAAAGGGAAATTTAATTTGATGAAAATTAAATTTTATCAGATTTAATTTAGCAAAGTCCTCTGTGATGTCATTCCTCCAGTGACCCTCCACCCGCTTCTCTGAGGTTTGAAGTGGTGAGAAGTTCAACACTGGGGAGAGGAAAAAAGCTCTGTAAACATGTTTATAAAGGTTAACGGAACTTCTATTGCATCAATTTCTAATAGAAACATTGAGGTCACAGTCAGCAAAGATGATTTGTAAACTGAGAATGGAGAGAATTGAAATTGCACTTACGTGGTCATGCGAAACCCCTGCTTTTCCTGAGGGCCGCGTCGTGCCCGGCGGCCCGTTTGAACAAGCGCCTCGGTCTGTTTCAAGTGCGTAGCCGTTGTCCGGTAAACGTACGTGCCTGGACATTTGGCAGAGAAGCAGGCTTTCCTTCCGCTCGCGCTGTTTTGGTAAAGGTACAAGCAACCTCTGTGGAAACAGCCTGTGGGTTCCATGATGTAGTGCCCACTTCATCCCTGGTGCTGTTTCTTTCCTCTGAAATAGTAGGAACTGGCAGAGAAGGCAAATATTATTGGCATGGCACCCATCCCCGTAGGCCAACCATTGTAAGGCGTGCCAGCAGCAAGGTGGGGCACCCTGGAAGTGGACAGAACACCCAAAATGAGCGTACCCGTGTCCTGACGACTGGGGAGTGAGCCTGGATCCCTCCATAAGCACCTTCCCCGTTATCTTTATGGCTGGTATGGCGGTCCCATTGACTCTTCACTTCCTTTCACTTCCACTCCTGGCCTCCAACCTAGATTGGGAAAGAGGAAGGTTTTTATCAGTGTGCTGAGAAAGGACAGAAGAACACAGGCTAACGTCAGTCAGCACGAGGAGCGGAAGGCATTTCCCCGGAGGGAGGCAGAGGGAGTGTGGGCTGTGGGTGCCCACATCACTGCGGGGCTCCCGTCACCACAGCCCGGTCTCCCCATGCCGCAGTCCTGGCTGGGACGCAGCTGGCGCTCCTCTGCAAGGCGTCCTGGGTCTCATTTGTATCAGAAAGACTTACGTTGCTTCACTGATTTGTTGCAAAAAAAACCCAAATGAGTTTGTATTTCAGTTTTAAAAAGTTCTGTGAACAATGTTCAAAAGCCAAGTAAGTACCCAGTAAAATTCTCACTGCTGCCAGCCGCCCACAGGACCTGCAGCCCACCTCATTTTATTATTATTTTATTTATTTTTTATTTCATTTTTTATTTTTATAGCCCACCTCACTTTCACCGCCTGAGATGTATGTGTTCTCTGTTCGGTCTCTCTCAGAACCTTCCATTTTGGTTATTACACCAGCTCCTTTCATTGTTTTGCTTATTGATTTATGATTTTTCCCCCCGTCAGTTTGTGCCATTGCTTAGTTGATCTTGGAACCAAAGAATCTGGGAAAAAATTCAAGTCTTTTGAATGTGGGTTTTCCCAGTCCTGAAGTTTCCTAGATTTGAGTATTCAGATATAAGTGGCAATCTGGTCCGCTCATTAATGGGCTTGTGTGCATGTGGTATTTATATGTGGAGATGGAAATATGTGTAAAATTATATGCCTTCCTAAATTGTGGTGGACTGTTTCTCTGTTTTCCATGTCCATCACAGAAAAGGACAGGTTCCTGAGTGGAGGAGCTGGGGATTAAGAAATTAGAGAAAGAAAGAGACATAGATTTAACAAGCTGGATGCTAGGTGGGCGCCATCTCTCTGATGGAGAGGCAGCAAAAGGCGACCCCCAAAGCCATGCAGGTTTATTTATAGGGTCAAAGGAGCTTATTTGCATTCTTAACTAGGCTCTAGCATTACTAGATTTACATATCTAGACCCGCCCCTGGTGACACCTGGACAAAGGTACTCTGCCAGTGCCTCGGGCTCAGCTAACAATTTAAAGAATATCCATGTGCCTTCTCAGGCGGCCCTCTACACTATATGATTTTATTCATCTACCTATAATTAAAATATTAAAAAAAAAAGATTTTTCCTTTCTTCCCTTAAAGTGAACAAATCATTTGTTGATTCTCCCCCCTCCCACCCAGAGGTCAATATGTATCATCATTGCTACCATGTGATGTTGAGTTTTTTAAAAAAATAGTTTGATTTTTAGAGAGAAAGGGAGATGGAGAGAAACATCAATGTGAGAGCACAACCTCGAACGGCTTCCTCCTGCACACCCCCTAACGGGGATGGAGCCCACAACCCTGGCATGTGCCCTGACCAGGAATCTAACCAGCTACCTTTTGATGCGTGGGATTGCTGCTCAATCAACTGAGCCTCACTGGCCAGGGTGTGAAGTTGATTTTTGAAGATTTACCTGAAATCATGTGGCAACCTATTAGATTTGAAGACTTGGAACAGTGTCTCCAGATCTAACTATTTGTTTAGCTATTTTCTCTCCTCGATAGTTGGATTGAAATTAAAAGGCAGAGTAGTTCCCCCTCCCACAGAAACTGCCAGAAAGGACTATGTTCTCCATTACTTGTTCCTCATTATCTCTTAGTGTGCTGAGAATGCCAATCATTTAAATACAATTTGGGGGCAATATATGCATTCACTATTTCCTGTACAATATTTTTCTTAGCCATTGAAACAATATTAGCTCCTGGAAAAAATATAATTTAAAGAACTGCTTCTTGTCTGTGGGAAAGTTACCTGTCCAGCACTGTTTCGCGGGAACCTTGATAAGTCAGCACGACCCAATGGTAACCTGCCTCTGGATTAGAAGAGCACGGCTGGACCATAAACCTCAACTGGAAGCCATAGCTTTGGGTTTCCCCAGGTGTAGGGGGAGGGTTTGAGGAGAGCCCTGGAAGCTGTGTGTGGGGGGTGCTTAAGTCCGAGCCAGTGTGGGGCCTACACTACCTGTGTGCCCTTGCCAGCTAACACAGACCTACCCATGGGGGGCTGCGGAAAGGGTCTGTGGCTGCCTCCACCGAAGAGATTAGCTGGAGGCCATCGTGCATCCTTCTGTGGGGCCAGAGCCTGGCCTGCCGAGTCTGGCTGGTTTGACTGTCCCGCTGAACCCAACAGCACTGCTGCTGGTTGAGCAGAATGGGCAGTGAATTGTCATAAATATTTAATATGAAAAGTAAAATAATAATAGCAACAATAACAACTATTTATGCTTTCTTTATTTTTCAGAAATGTGTTACGGATGAGTGTTTCTTTTTCGAACGGTTGGAATCCAATAACTACAACACTTACCGGTCAAGGAAGTACTCCAGTTGGTATGTGGCATTGAAGCGGACTGGGCAGTATAAACTTGGATCCAAAACAGGACCTGGCCAGAAAGCCATCCTTTTTCTTCCAATGTCTGCTAAGAGCTGATCTTAAGGGCACCATCTGATCTCGTTTCACATGAAGGGAAGAGGTTTATTTTAGAACTTGTTAATGAGAGGAAAAGAAATTGTGTGCAGCCATCTGCTCAGTTTGGATAACTGGTCAGATAACCTTTGATCTAATATTAAAATATTTAACCATTGCCTTAGTAAAGAAAAACAAGAATTCCTGGAAATGTATAAATTTCCACCTTTTATATAGCATTTGCCTTTATCCAGTGACGCTTATTTAGAGCTACAATCTTTCCATACATTCACCCCATTCGAAAAGAGGCTTTAAAAATGTGTGCATTTGCAAATTTCTTCACGGAAACCATACACATTAGAAAATTAAAGCGAGAGATTTAGTGAACACAAAATGTGCACCATTCTTAGAACATGGCACTCATTGATCTACATGTACAATTTACTAAAGATTTTTATACGTGTAAATACGATTTAATCCACTCCCGTCATCGTTTTGTAACTGTCTGGCAGTTCCCTGTGATAGAGTTTGTAGAACAAGCCCGTGTACACAGCTGGGAACTGCTCCATGGTCAGGTCAATCTTCTCGAAGCCTTCCCGGTGCCCGTACAGCAGCAGCTGCGCGGCCCTGCTGGTGACGGGCGTGGTGTTGGCGGCCGTGGCCAGCTGGGCGAGGTCCATCCACTCGCACCGCAGGCACTCGTGCGGGCACAGCGCGATGGAGAAGGACCGGGGCTTCAGACGGCAGATGATGTACATGTCCGACTTCCCGAAAGCCCCGGGGTGGCTGTGCTGCTGCCGGATGCTCAGGAGGGACATAAATTCTGATTGTATGCCAGTTTCTTCAAAAACTTCTCGAACTGCTGTGTCTCCTGTGTGAACAAAAGATGTACAAATCAGTGACTATCACATTTTCAGAAGGAGTAACTTTATCTAAAGGATTTTCAGTTGGAGTAACTTTATCTAAAGGTTCAGAAGCAAAACTTCAAGGAAATGAAGTTTTCAATATAAACTCTGACACCCTGGAATACCAAAGTATTTTCTTACCGCTGTACACCTGAGAAGCTTTCAAAAATAGTGAATATTTCTTTGGCTGCTACTGTGGGGGTCTATTCATCTGATGTTTTTGGGGTTACATATTTTTTAACCTCTTCCTGCTCTATTTCTCAAAAGATGAAAACATAGGTTGCTAAGCTGCGGTTGCTGTTCCCACGTTTCTTGTTACCTGTTCCTGATCATTTACCGATGTTGGTGTGGTGGGGCTGCGGGGTGTGGAGACTGGGAAGGAACTGGGACCTCTCCTGGTGATCTGGGGCAGGTATGGAAGATGGACAGGCCTCCGAATCTCAGAGAAGATGCCTTTGCAGTCTTTTTGTTGTTCTCGCTAATTATCCAGTCCGGAGAATCCCAATTGGGATTTGGGGCAGTTCCTTTGTTTCCTGAGATTCCAAAGAATTTAGACTCTTTCCTCCAACACCTAGATCTGCAGCCACTCCCTCAGAGGTCTTAAATAACTCGCAGTACACAGAACTTTATAATAAAACAGGGCTTTCACATTTCAGAAGGGTGACTTTCTGATACCATACACATTTATGGGGCAGGATCTTCACTGCCATTAACATACGCTGGTGGCTGCTTTTTCTAACTACCCACATGATCCCCTCACGGCTTCCTCTAACTCTGTGATGCTGTCATTATCTCCCAAAGGGGCACTAGAAGCTCTGAGGACAGCTGCCTTCCTCACCCAGTTTGCTGGGAAATAGAGTTGCATAGATTTTTGTTCAAATGCTCTTTAGTACCCGCCTTTTCTTATTTGTCAAACAGTGAATTATATTTGCCTTGTTAGTAGTCTTGCTAGTCTTACTGGTGAAGAGCAGGCAAGGAAGAGGAAGGCAAGGAGACAGCCTCCAGTTCTATGTGCTCTGCAGTGGACCGTCTTCCCAATTCCCTGGGCAGCCGCGGACGCTCCCTGAGAAACGGCTCTGCAGGTGTGTGCAGGAGGAGCAAGGTGCTCTGAAATGTAAGCCATCTGCCATCTTTTAATTACATGCCAACTCCCCTTAGAACTGAGATTTGCCACAGGTTGCACAGGGTTAGAAATTATATTTTTAAATTAAAAACATAAAAGAATTTATGCTAAAAAGGGGAAAAATTCCTTCTAAGAAAAATAATCTTCAGTCTGGCATAGAATCCATACTTGTTATTGAATCTATTAAAGACTGTGGCAGTGTCTCACTTAACTATAGTCTTTAATCTATTAAAGACTGAGGCTGGTCTCACTTAACTATTGGTTAAGTGTTCTTTAAACACTTTGAAAACTAACCATGGGGGTCCTGTCTAGTGCTCAGCATCACTAGTAAAGACCTGGGCCTTTAGTTCCCATCTAGCCTGTTTCCGTGTCACGGATCACAGAGAGGGACAGTTGGGGAGTCAGCCCTGTTCAGCAGTCACTGGGGCAGTGGACCCCAACGCAGCACTGCCTGGATAGTCTGATCAGTTTAAGTTGAGTCAGTAGGCAGTGGCTAGATGAAAACTGAATGGCAAGTAAGTGCTTTTGTGTCCAGGGTATGAGAGAGCCCTTCTGCCCCGAAAGGGAAATCTCTTCTCCAAAGATTTTGCCATGAATCTGAATTTTTTATTTGGATAAAGTGCTTTTCTCTGTTGTACCTTTGTTATTTTAATGTACTGTAAGCTAAACTGAAATACCATTTTCTGTGTTTTAAATCTGAAGAACATAGGAAAAACCCAGAGGTTTGTTTCTATTTTTGCTGATTGAGAGAGATGTTTAAAGACGTCACAGCATTTTGTTTATAGAACAATAGTGAGATGGAGTTTATATTTGTTATTTCTATTTTGTGATATTTAATGATAGGATTAGATTGAAATAAAATAAAATCATAGAAAAAATTGTGCAGAATGTGGGCTTTCCTGGTGTTTCACTCTGACTCTGGGGCACCGATGAACTTGGACCAGTGGCTGATACAGTCCTCAGGCTATGCAGGGGGTTGTCCCTGACAGGGGTAATAGTTTTTTTTTTTTGGAAGGCAACTCCTCCATTTTTAATCTTTGTACTCCTAGGGTAGTATATTAAAGCCTGAGGATTGCATTCCATTTTGTATATGCTCTTCTTAATTCTTTTTAGACACTACAGACAATAGTGCTTCATTTACCTAGTATCAGAGAATGAAGGATTGCAAACAGGTGTGTTTCCCAGTTAACCAGTGTTTACTACTTATGAGCCAGTATGAATGCTTGTTCATTGGTGATGGCAGTATTCCTAAAATAGATTATATTCCTAAGTATAGATTTTAGAAAAAGCAAATAATTCTTGGATGATTTGGCTTCATCATTAAAAATATTTATTATTGTATTACAGAACAGAATGCCCTTGGATAGTCATAGTCGTTCAGGACTCTACTGTCAGTTACCATTTCCAGCTGCTTTCAGGGTTTTATCAATCTAAGGCAAAGCTTTAATTTATACGGCATGGTGAATGCCAACTGCTGCTTTTTTCTTCATTCCACATGACTGAGATGTATCTATGATCTCTGGGTAGGTGGGTTGTTGTGTCAACCACAAATACTTAAAAAGTAGTGAATTCTTCACAACTTGGATTTGAAGGGTTCTGGAGTACACTTAAACAGAACTATTTGTCTTGGAAATGTGTTTCTTCATGTACATTTAAATGTAAGTCTATCTGAAATTCTGAAGATCCATAAAATTGACCTCCAGTTCATTGGTGAGGAAGCTACACAAACCTCCTGCAGATGGATTCCTACCTGGTATGGGCTGGGTGAGGATGTAACATAAGCTTAACTAATCCACAAGCTCTTATACATCACATAAGGAAAGCGGAAGATAATTAGGTGTTGAGGATAAGTGGCTTTCCCTCCCAGCACTCACACCGCTACCAAATTCTCTTTTATTAAAACAGAAGACCCAACAGAATCTGGGTCATTAAGTACCTAAAATACTATGAATTCATTTGAATACAGTAAATATACTTACTGGTTGTTAAGAGTTGGCTATATACTATGCATAGGGCATTTTAATCTGTGTAACATTTTTAGAAATTAAGTTTCAGGAATATATACATTTTTATATAAAATATCCAAGGATAATTTAGAAAATTGTGTTCACATAAATGTTGGCTAAAGAGAACAGGGACATGCAATATTGAGGGAAAAGTTGTAGAGTAATAATAATACTGGTATCCAAGTGAGTTATCTATTGATTTATTATGACAGGGGCTATATCTGACCAGTGGGATAAGGAATAGGTAGGAAAACTCAGTTTCTCGTCTTTCATCTATTTCCTATAAAATCAGTGACACTGAGAATTCTTAGCTTTTTTCACATTGCCCTGTTTTCCATATTGAGCTCTGGAACTTGTTCTAAGGAGTTATGTGTTTCATGTGAGATCTTCTCATATGAGATATTTCACTATGCTTTGCTTCTGACTAGTCAGAATAATTAGTAGATAATTTTTTCAAAAATAGAAGAATTAATCACCATGGCTCTATAACTGACTTTATAAATAATACTTGTTTCAAAGTTCATGTAAAAGTTACTATTCAACTTTGTGTGATGACACAGTGAAGAATTTGTGTTTTCTCATGGTTTAATTCCAACAATTTTAGTCATATCCCAAATAGCCCTCAATGCTAAACTTTACTGATGCATATGCACAGCTTCTCACTTTCAAACAAGTCACTCTAGAAGCAGCCCTAAAGGGAAAAGCAGGTGTATCCTCCTGCTTTAATGGAGCAAGTTCTAATGTTACATGTTTTGCTGCTAATTTTATATCAGCCCTGAAATTTTATATCAGCCCTCTCTGAAATTTTCTTAGTCTAAACTAGTTAGAAAATTTAAAATCTTATTCTTAACTATATAGTAAAAAAAAAAAAATTTTTTTTTAAACATGAATTTCCTTAACATTTCCAGGCCGATTGAAAAGATGTAAGATACACACCGATATCTTCCCCAGGCTCCGAAAGGCCTCCCGGGAACTTCCACATGTTTTTCAACTGCAGCATAAAGTCAGAAAATAAAGTCAGCACAGCTTCTACTCACTCACACACATACATGGTGACCCACAATCGTCACTCATATTGGTCAAGGTGGTTGAGGATTTATTTTTTAGTAATTGCATGTAAATTTTTTCCAGTTTCCTTCCTCATTACTCTTTTCCTTCTTTTGGGGGGAACTGGTAACTTATGAATTCTTTTCCCACTGTTTTTTTTTTTTTTGGGGGGGGGGGTAGAAGTGGTTTTGTTTGGTTAATGTGATAAATTCTGAATGAATAAGACAGTGAAAGGAACACATCTACTGAATTAGTGTAATTTTAAAAAATTTGCTGCTAGTTAACTATTAATAGAGGAATTTTACAGATGCTGCTATAAATAAGTAGAAAATACAGTAAAAATGTAATCACTGAAGTATACTACTTTTAACTTCACATTTATTTTCTGTATTGTGTGTCTAATCAGATATATTAGCCTTATGGTTTTTCTTGCTCTATGTGTTAATGATTTCATTGGTAGTGTGAATAAAACTGATTAAGTTTGTGGGTTTTTTTGTGCACCTTTTTTGGGGGTGAGGGGAGACAGGTGGGAAGATCCAATCTTGGAATAGAGATAAACATGGAGAAAACTGATGAATAATAATTCTGAAAAGGCACAGGACAATATGCTTATGGCTGACATATTTTTTCCTGTTAGAGGTCTATTGTACCTACCCAATCACCATGATCAAAGCTGAAGAATGAGAAATTAGGACATACTCATAAAGGCACTACAGCTTGGAGCCAGGACACCTTCTACTCTTCATTCATAAAACAAGTTCATGGACCTTTTTCTGGTGTGTTTTGCGGCCCTCTCATTTCCTGGACGGGTGCTTCTTAAAGTGTGTCATTTCCCAACTCTGCTAGGTTGGAGAGCAGTGGCATGGCTCCCGGTCTCCACAGACTGCCGATTATGTGGTCCAGAATCCAGGCTTTCCACCCTTCTGTGTCTGGCTCAGACTTGAGTTCATTTATAACTCATATTATGTTTTATTTTATTAATGTAGGAAGATATCTCTAAGGATGTCTATAATACATTAATGCACTGTCTTTGGGGAGTTCCATTCTGAAATGATTCCAAAAGCTATGTTTATATGGAACCGCTGCAATCTTTTTTCCAATAGAATACTGGACTTCACCACCATAAATTTATTTCTAACAGATATAAATGCTTCTTTAAACAATAAAAGCTAACTTTTTTTTAAAACTTATACTTGATGACAATAATTGGAGATTGATTCTTGATTACATTTGGAGATACGAACTTATTGAAAGGAGGAACATGCTAGATAGAAGGACTGAAAACATCTCATACAAATTTGATTTTCTTTAGCTATGGAAAAATTAAATCTATTTTTATGTTGGTGAGTAGTGTTTTATATTTTCTGGCACCATTTAGCTTTAAGAGCTTGTTTGAAAAAAAAAAACCCTCCCTCCATCTCCAAAAAAGCTTCAGCCTGCAGTTAGTCTAAGTGGGAGGTAGAGAGGCCCTTGTTAGGTGGTTTGAAAACCTGGTTAATGTAGCTCTGACCTATGGAAAGATGAGTATATCTTCTTTTTTAATATCAAAGAATACTCCCCATTAACTGGGTTGAGCAACATAATAACATCAACAACAAATACTAGGTAATATATATCACCTAAATGTTTTTATAATAATTATATACATTTAGCCCTGGCCAGGTAGCTCAGTTTGTTAGAGTGTCATCCTGATACACCAAGGTTTCAGGTTCGATCTCCAGTCGGGGCACATACAAGAATCGACCAACGAATGCATAAATAAGAAAAACAAAAGACTGATGTTCCTCTCTCCCTCCCCCTCTTGAAAATCAATTAAAAAAAAAGAATTACACACATTGAAACTTTACAGTAATCTATGAAGGACGATCCCCATTTTGGAAGTGATGAAACTGAGGGCATGAAAAGACTTAATAACTTGCCTGAGGTGACACAGCTAATGTGTAGTGAACTTGGTTAAAATTCAGGCCTTCTGATTCTATCCATCTTTCAGTAAATTTTAAAAGTTGTTTAGCTATTTTCCCACTAATCCTTAACTACTATTTTCTGCCCTTTTATATAACTTTTGCTCTTCAGACCTCACTGGAACATTCTATGTAATCGGACCAGAATTTGTATCTGAGACTTCCACCACTCCGGGGCTTGTGAATTTGAACTGTGACCTCCTGGTTCATAGGTCGAAGCTCAGCCACTTCCAGCCAGCACAGAGCCACTGTAGTTAGATAATAAATTAGCTACTGTATTATCCTTACTAATGAGATAGAAGCTGCCATAAAGATCTCTTAGTAAGTTTGTTTATTGAACAAAAATTTATTGAGTGCTAGTGAGTCGGGTATACAGAAATTAATGTACCATGTAGCAAGCCCATTCTCTTTCTCCCTATACCACTGTATTTTTCTTAAGATCACTGCCTTATATATTGTTTATTCTCTTGTTATTTTTATCTTACCCATTTGTATATAAGCTCCAGATGTAGGAACTTTGCTTTGAGTTCAGAACAGAGCCGACGATGTAGTCATTACAGGAACTAGGGAATGCCAGTGAGTAAGTGAACAGGTCCCTACCCTGGTCTTGGCTTTTTTAGCACCCAGTTTACAGAGAGAGCCACTCTTAGATCTTTTATTTCTCAAAATCATGGGGCGGTGAAGTATTGGACTATATGGATAGGGAAGGAGGATAGATACATTTTAAGTATCATTTTAGCTTTGTGTCTGTTTATGTGCAGTGAGGATTTAACTTTGCAAGTATGCCTTGACAGCAATGCCTGGGCAGAGGGAGGCACTAAAGGAGGAGAACTGTTTCATGTCAGAAAGAATGCTAATTAGTTGTTTATGGTTAATGGTATTAATGCTTAAATTCCACCTAACAACAATATAATTGCAGAAATTAAATATGGTTTAGTGTCACACTTTATATATATTTTTTATTACAACACTATACACGAAAACTCAGTTTTTATCTTTTGTTGCCCTCAGATGGATCACTGCTTATTTTTCAATTTTATAAAAAATAAAACTGAAGCCCTAGCTGGTTTGGCTCTGACTGAAAAGTCTCAAGTTCGATTCTGTTCAAGGACACATACCTTGGTTGCAGGCTCAATCCTGGCCCTGGTTAGGATGTGTGCAGGAGGCAACCAATCAGTGTCTCTCTCACATTGATTTTTCTCTCTGTCTGTCTCTCCCCCTCCTTTCCACTTTCACTAAAAAAACAAAACAAACAAACAAAAAAAACACCAAAAAAGACAAAACAAAAAACAACAGGAAAAATATATCCTTGGGGGAGGATTATCAAAACCAACAAAATTGAAGCCCTAAATAGTAGTATCATTTCTCCTAAATGCATACAGAATCCAAAGTCTTATGTAATCTGAATTTGTCTCCAGTCTCTGCCAGTCCCAGCTGCCCAGAAGCACAGTAGGAACATGAAAAGCAGTGCTTTCTCATTCTGAGAGGACCAGTCACTGGCAGGTTTGCAAGTCAGCAAATGAAGAGTCGGAGCTCAAAGTGCTAGTGTAGCAGTTCTCAAACTTGACCATGTACCGAGTCACCTAAGTTTGTGAACAACGGCTGAGCAGCATTCCCAGCGTTTCTGATTCAGGAGGTTGGTGGGGGCCTGGGAACGTGAATTTCTAATAAGTGGATGCTGTGATTGTCTCTCAGCTCCAAACCCACCCTCTGTGCTCTGCCTAAGGATGCAGAAGCTGGGACCCTGCTAACCATTTCTGCTTTGCCAGGGGACTCTCCCCTTTAGGTTCCATCAACAGACTTGTAAGGCAAGGGGAGGAAGGAGGGGCTTTCTGAGGTCCAGGCACAAAATACTTTTAAGTACTCAATAAATTTCTGTTGATAAAGCTTAGTTTAAGTCAGAGGATCTGCCTTTACTAAAACTTTGAAAGTTACTTATAATTATGAGAATGCTTTTAGATTGAATTTCTCAGAAATGTGTGATACTTTCAGCTCTCATTGCCAATAGTTGTTTAAAATTTAAAAACATATATGCTGGGGGAAATGTTTGACTCTGTCCGCTGTTATTTACTGAAGTCTCAGAAAGCATTAAAAATAATGATTCTCTTTCACTTTTATTCTCCTGAGTGAGCATGAAAACATTTGTTTCTTAAAAACCTTTGTTGCTTTTAGTTAAATAGACTTTTTATTTTTGTGTACAAAGCTTTTTACATTCTGTTCCCAATCTAGCTGTCAGGTCACATATTTTTCCACTGCCTACACTCCTGGCCACAGTGAAGTTTTTGCTATTTTTTCCACAGTGTGCAATGGAATGCTTATGTCCTCCCACCCCCACCCAATTCATATGTTGAATCCTAATTCCCAATGTGATGATGGTATTATAAGGGGAGTCTCTGAGAGATGACTGTGTCATAAGAGTGAAGCCCTCGTAAATGGGCGTAGTGTTCTTATTACAGAGATCCCAGAGAGTTTCCTGTCCCTTCTGCCATGTGAGGACACAGTGAGAAGACAAACTTCTATGGACCAGGAGGTAGGACCTCATCAGACACCAACTCTGCTGGCGCCTTGATCTTGGCCTCCCAACATCCATAACTATCCTAATATGCAAATTGACCATATAGTAGAACGACTGGTCACTAGGACATGCACTGACACCAGGGGGCAGACGCTCAATGCAGGAGCTGCCCCCTGGTGGTCAGTGCGCTCCCACAGGGGAAGCACCACTCAGCTAGGCTCACGGCTGGTGGGTGCAGAGACCCTGGCAGGAGCTTCTCCTGCTTCTGAGGCAGCGCTAAGGATGCCAGACTGCTGGCTTAGGGGGGCAGTGGGCCTAAGCCAGCAGCTGGACATCCCCCGAGGGCTCCTGGACTGAGAGAGGGCACAGGCCGAGCTGAGGGACCGTCGCCCCACTGAGTGTACAAATTTCATGTACCAGGCCTCTAGTGAGAAATAATGTTTGCTGTTTAAGTCACCCAGCCTATGGTGTTTTTGTTATAGTGGCTAACCGGACTAAAACATCAAGTCAGCTCCTTTCCAAACTCTGCCCTTATGTATGCAATTCTAATTATCTCAATCTGTTTTTCTACCTTTTCTTCCTGGTAAGCTCCTATTCATTCTTCAAGATACAACTTAAATAGCACCTCTTCTGATAAATCTTTAGGGGCTTTTTAAAGGCAAAGTAAAGTGTTACCATGTGTTGTATGACTGCTTTCCTAAATTGATAGATGCAGGACATCAGGGGTATTGTCTTACTAATCTTTGTATGCTCAGCACCTGGCTTGGAGTAGGAGCTTAATGAATGTTGGATGAATGGAAGAATGTCTTGATAGTCTGTTAGAAAGAGAATTATCTTCCCAATTAAATACAGCCATTTATAATTTTCCAGTAGCCATAAGATAATAGTGAGCTATAGTGAGGTTACCCCAACTTTTCAAGGCCTGCATAAGCATTTATGGATTCAATGAGTAGCCAAATGATCCACAACTGCTTAGGAATAACTTTTAAAATATCTGTAATTCCTTGA